GTGCACATAAATATAAATATAAAGAACATTCCAAATTTGATGTATGTGCGGACCCTTTTTTGTTTGTTTGAGCATCTATATATATCACTCAATCAATTAGTTCCAATTAATTAATCAATTTAAGTTTAAAATTTTATATTGGGAAATACAAATATAAACATAAATACTCTTATATATATATATATATACATAATAAAAAATATATAAGTATATATACATATATATGAGTATGTATGTTTATATTTGTATATAGATATGAATATATATGTATATATGTGTATTTTTTTACTTTTTATTTTTATTTTATTTTTATTTTTTTCAGTTTTTTTTCGGATTTTTTGTTTTGTTTTTTAATCTATTTTTTATTTTTATTTTTATTTTTTGTAATTTTTCGGATTTTTGTATTTTTTTTTTAAATCTGACGTAGCATGATGACATGGCAAAATTTTCCATGTGGCATGCCATGTCATACGCCACGTGGCATGCCACGTCATCGGTTAACGGACTTTTAACACCCAATTCGGATTGTGTAGGAAATTGCAGTTAAATTGGGTAGTTCGTGTATCAATTTGGCACATTTGATAATTTGGTGTAGTTTTTTGTTAAATTAAAAATTCGTGTAGGAAAAAATCACATTTTAAACAATTCGTGTAGGAAAATATCATTTATTCTCCCTTGAATTTGGACCACAACCCCCTAGCAATTGATATAGAAGCTTAACTGTATTTCATCGTATGAAGAGAGAACACCTGGAAAATTTTTGGATGTCTCGGTTGTGCGTTTTGTTGCCCTTGTCTATTTCGGTGTCCTTTTGAGTCTAGGACAGTGGAAATGGGGCAGAAATGCTTTCTAGTGAATAACTGGTCGCTAAAGCGGATTTGCTGTTGTAGTGCTTGTTTCAAAACATCAAATATCATGAATGTTTGAAAATTCATTTCAGGAAACTGGTTGTCTATTGTGGGAATACAATATTGGGGATCCAATCACTGCGTCGACGTATATCGACGAGAATCTACACTTTGATTCAGATCAAGTGCTTGCATCAGACAGGTTAGGCAAGAGGGCGCCCATTGGATATTATCAAATGTTAGCCTTTTATGTTGTAAAGACTGATGATGCATTGTGTTTCTAAGCAATTTCCAGGTTGGTGTGTGTATGCTCGAGCTCGGGAAGAGTTCATATCCTTCGGGTGAGTCCCGAATTCAGCAGAGACTCACTCGAGACAAAGGAAGATATGGTACAAGAAATCGCAAAATCGGAGTTACCAGCAAACATTTTTTCTTCTCCGGTGATGATTGGTGGTCGGATTTTTGTGGGATGCCGTGATGATAATGTGCATTGCCTCTCTCTTGAATGCTCGACCTAATTCCATCTCCAACGAGGTAAATACCTATTCCATTTGAACCTTTTCTCGACTTCGGTTGATACACTATCTATATAGAATGCCTGCTTTTCGTCTACAGCCTCGGCAAGTTTTGCAATTTTACTGTGTTTTGCAATGATTGAACATATATATAATCATATTACATAAGTCTACTTTCAACGTCCGATATTCAGATGAAAATATTTACAGTGATGAATAATGTCGGCCCAACGGATATTGAAACTTCTATATAGAGTCAGCAATGCCGTCACATGGTTTGCAAACTATATAAGCACACGTCTACTACTTGTGAATACTATATGCAGTCCACTCATTTGCGTTAATTCAAAAGGCAAAAACCAACTCCTCTGCAACTTCACGGGCCGGCCAAGAAAGAAAACCGTCGCCGTCGCGTCAGCGATTATGCTTCTGAAGCTCAGCTTTTGCTGTGTCAAGTTGTTCTGCAGACATTTTCATCGTCAAGAACCAGATGTTACAATGTCAAAATGGATTCACACAAGCACTTTTCTTACTTTGTTCAGATGTTTTCAGTTTCTCCACAGTTGTGCGAAAAAAGAGGTTACTGCTTTTCTGGTAAACAGCCTGAAATTCAAGAGCAGATTCAGTGATGTCTGATTTCATTTCGCGTTTTCTCTCTTACGATGTTTTGTTTCATATCATAAGCAAGCAGAAAGGATTTAAACTGTAAACGAACAAATAAAGTTACAACTTCAGATCACCAAAACGAATAGTGTTAGTGTAACTAACTTAAATACACACTTACATGAACATGACCAACCTGGGTCTTTACCAAGTGTCGGAATAAGAAGTAGAGACAGTCTTCGTGCATAAAAGAGGATCAAAGAGTATAGAAAGAACGAATCATGTACCACTTTTTTTGCCGCTTAGCCCGAAGCGATCTTCTACAGAACCGACGGCATTCAAGAAGCTAAACACAATGCTATGTGATGACTTGACTTGTACTATGCATATCTGTGTTTGCTAGAGTTCATCAATATGTAATGAACCATGTTTAACAAACACCCAAACTGACAAACTGATGCATTGAAATAACCAGTGACCACGGACTGGACTTCCTCTGCGAGTGTGGTCTCAATTCTTGATTGATATTCCACAGAAATATCAAAAGCCCTTTGTTTTCTTTCCATTCTTACATTCTAAAAACGTAGGAAAACATAGCTCATCAACTGAATATGGAGATAGTCACAAATGTCAAATCCCTAAAACTTGTGGGGAGATTCATAAAACAGCTGAGAAATCGGTTAAGCCCATAGAAAAACAAAAATAATTCAATTCACAGAGAGAGAATTTTCCAACAATGTAGCTCCATCTACTTGGAACGGAGACAAAGCTACAAGATAAACATAAGAGACGCATACCAAAAACGGAGAAAACGCAGGGAATTTAGAAGAACATACACGCGAAGAGGGGAGATTGTTCAGCTCATCTAACGCAACCTCGTGCCTTCTTACCTGAATCCATCGGAAATTGCCCAGACTCAGTACCATTCAACGAATTTCGATGTGCTACACAAATCAACATTAGAGAGAGAGAGAGAAAGAGAAAGAACCTCTCTCTGAAGATCGATTTCTCGAGCAGAAGAAGAACTTGTCGCCATTTTCTCCGATGGAGGTCACCGAACAACGAACGCCGGCAAAAACCCTAAAACTCGAGATTCCCGGGTTTTTTATTTTTTTGTTTCCCCTTCTTAATATATTCGCCCAGAAGCTTTGATAAATGGAACCTATAATATATTATTAAAATTGTAGAATTTTTTAAAAAATAATTAATTTAAATTGAATTTAAAAATAAATATTTAATAAATAAAACAGAATTGAATTACAAAAATCTATATCGAATATAATGATTTTTCATCCAACTAAAATAATTAAATCGAAATATCTTTTCCATTTCATGAATTTTTTATTTTTACCGGTTATCAGGGGTGGGCATATTATTCGAAAAAACCGATCCGATCCGTTATTCGATCCGTATTCGATCCGAAAATTCGGATATCCGGAGTTCACGGATCGGATACGGATATTGGTTTTCAAATATTTGTCGGATACGGATCGGATACGGATATCAAAATAAAATTATTCGACATCCGATCCGATCCGTACTTTTTAGTAATTTTAATAATATATGGTTAATTTGGCAATTAATTTATATATAAGGGTAATTTTGAAAATAACAAAAAAATGTTAGGGTTTTTCTTCAATTCGCCGCAGGTCTGTGTGCGCCTTCCTCCCCCATTTTTGTTGGTCTACCATAGATCTCAACATTTTCTCTAATTAGATCTTTCACGTTCTTCGGTGTGTATATATATATAACTCAATCTAAAGTGTGAAGCAAGAGGTGAGCTCACAACTTTAGATTTCTCCATATGAAACCGTTGAAGTACTTTCTCAATGTACTTCTCCTGTGACAAATACAATTACTTGTTAGTTCTGTCCCGAGCAATTCTTATCCCAAGAATCTGCTTCGCTAGTCCCAAATCCTTCGTAGGAAAGAACCGGCCAAATTGTTTCTTCAACTCTGTTATTCTTTTCATGTTCTTACCCACAATCAACATATCATCCACGTAGAGCAGCAAAATGATAAAATCATCATCAGAAAACTTCTGCACAAACAAGCAATGATCGGAAGTCGTCTTTTGTAGCCATGCGCCCCAATAACTGACTCAAACTTCTTATACCATTGTCTCGGTGCTTGCTTCAATCCGTAAAGACTTTTCTTCAACCGACAAACAAAATCCTCTTTGCCCTTCTCAACAAAGCCTTCAGGTTGTACCACGTAAATCTCTTCCTTCACCCGTATGGATGACATCTTCACAACCGGCGAAAAGATCTCATCAAAATCAACTCATTTCTTCTGACTGAAACTTTTTACCACTAGTCTAGCCTTGTACCGCGGATGCAAACTGTGCTCTTCATGCTTAACCCTGAACACCCATTTGTTAAGCAATGCTCGTTTACCCTCTGGTAGCTTCATCAACTTGAATGTTTGATTCTTGTACAAAGAATCCATCTCGTCATTCATGGCCTTCATCCATTCGTCCTTGTATTCATCTCCGAGAGCCTCATCAAAACTCTCTGGTTTTCCCCCTTCAGCAAGTAATACATACTCACTAGAGCTATACTTCGTTGATGGTCTCCGAGCTCTCTCAGACCTTCTCAACATCGGTGAGTCTTCGATAGTCGGTGACTCAACCCGATGATCTTCACCAATACCATCATCAATCTGTACAAGAGCATCTGTACCAGGTGTATCACCATGAACATCACCTTCAGTAGAATTCTCAAATGTCGTTCGAGGAATCATCTCTCAATCGATCAAACCATTGCTATTTTGAGCTGGATTTTTGCACTTCTGAATATCCCGAATAGTTTGATCCTCCATGAACACAACGTCTCTGCTTCTGATGAACTTCTTCTCAACTGGATCATAGAATCTGTATCCCATTTTGTCAAGACCGTATCCGATGAACACACATTGCCTTGACTTCGCATCCAGCTTTGACCTCTCATCCTTGGGAATATGAACAAATGCTTTACACCCAAAAACCTTTAAATGACGGTAAGAAACATCCTTACCAGTCCAAACCTTCTCCGGAACATCAACATGTAACGGAGCACTAAGTGATAGGTTCAATACATAAACCAGGTGTTCAAAGCTTCACCCCAAAAGGAATTCAGCAGGCTTGATTGAGAAATCAGACAGCGAACTCTCTCCATGATCATTCTGTTCACCCTCTCCGCCAACCCATTCAACTGTGGGGTCTTCGGCGGCATCTTCTCATGTCTAATGCCTTGTTCACGACAATAGGCATCAAACGGTCCGGAGTATTCACCTCCATTATCGCTTCGGATACACTTCAACTTTTTTCCAGTCTGTCTCTCCACCAAGACCTAAAACTGCTTGAAAATGCACAGAACTTGATCCTTAGTCCTCATCATATACGCCCACAATTTCCTTGAATGATCATCGATGAATGTGACGAAATATGATGCACCACCCATTGATCTCGTCTTCAATGGACCACATACATCCGAGTGCACCAAATCGAGAATCTATGATTTTCTCGAAGGTGTAGAAGACTTAAACGTAACTTTGTTCTGTTTTTCCGCAAAACAGTGATCACATTTCTTCAAATGTAAGCCTTAAACTCCTTGTAGAACCTCCTTCTTTGCCAGAACAGACATTCCTTTCTCGCTCATATGACCGAGTCTCTTGTGCCACACTCAATAGCAACTTCACTCTCTAAGGCATTAATGGTATCCTTAGAAAGCTTAGCGTGCATTAAGTGTTGGTTTAGTGCTCTATGATGTACTGCTTGCGAGCTTTACTTGGATGCATTTGATGTATTGACGCTTTCTATGATTTATAGATTAGTGTTTGATTCATTACGTATTGTGCATACTTGATATGTTATGAAATCCATGTATTGTTATGAACAATACTAAACTCCCTAGTCGTGTATCATTGTGGGAATAATGATATACTAAGACTAGTATGATGTGTAATTGATGATCACATAGATGATCATAGGTATTGGATACGATCACAATCATAGGTATTCGTTGGAGAACGGAATACTGGAATGACCCGCATGAGATTGTCACATGGACTAGCGTCATGACTTGAATTCATATGGCGGTTCCATGATTGGATCTTAAGACCTGAAATATCTACGGAATCCAACATGAGGAGTTGCGTGCTTTGAATACGTCAAACGTCTTGCGTAACAGGAGGACTATAAAGGCGTGTATCAGGTGCAAAACGAATCATGTGCTGGATTGTAGATAGTCAAGACGGGATTTGTACCTCTCGTAAAAGAGAGAGATATCGTTGGGCCCCTCGTGTGAGCGAGACTGTAGAAATGTGTGGCCGCACTATAGACGAACG